AAGTGTTCAGCTCCTTTTTTCAATTGCCTGGACAATTTTACCCACCTCTATTCATATTAAAGGTAACATTTTTCTACCCCTCAATCCCTCATTAGCTGTTAGACATATGAGTGCTATTAAATAATTCCAAAGTAAAAGAAACTCAAATGAGTCTGGTCAGATTGTATGTCCCAGTAACTCAGAAAATTAAAGTGGTGAAAGGTGTTGCCTTAGCTAGGTCTTCTGCATCCATGTAATTGGTGTGCCACTAGCCTGGAGTGGAATGAACTCTGAGCAAGCTCAGTAGTCCTCATAAACACAAATGACTTTGAAGCCTTTTGTTTTTATCTGAATGGCATTTATGAAACCATATCCCTTCCAACCCTCCTTTCTTGAATTATTTTGGGTGTATCGAGGAAAGCAAAACCTGGGAGACCTTTCCATGTAGCTAAAACCGGGAAGCCTTTATCGTTTCCCACAAACTACAGCCCATCAGACAGGAAACAGGTCTGGGAATCCACAGTTAGTTTATTTTTAGTTCTGTTGAGTCTGCCTTCTTGATGGATTTCCTTAGTGTGACTAAACTGTGTTTGTTTGGGAGATTCATTTGTTTCTGTTTACTAATACCATGACATTCTCTTATGATAGTGCCAGCACAGGTGACTAACCTGCACGTGACAAACCAGGGGACAACCAACAATTTGTTCACCAACTGGACTAAAGCGCTGGGAGATGTAGAGTCATACCAAGTGCTGCTGATTCATGAAAATGTTGTCATTAAAAATGAGAGTGTTTCCAGTGAGACCAACAGATACCACTTCCACTCCTTGAAAACCGGAGGGCTTTATTCTGTGGTCGTCACTACAATTAGTGGAGGGATATCATCCAGACAGACAATTGCAGAAGGAAGGACAGGTAAGGAAGGGGAAGGGAGTGCTCCACCATATCTGTGTAGAAGCAGAACTCATTTGGAAGGATAGGCTCATGTTTAAGCCAATGAACTAAGATTTGGGACATTTGGGTTCCGTCCCAGGCTCTCGCGTGTGTCCTTGCCCAGGTCATGCTTCCCGTTCCCTAACCTCTCAGTGTTGTGAGGGGGAAAATGTTTGTGTGTCATTAGATCCTTTGGTGATGGAAACCATAAAATTCTGAATATTTCATGAGCAACAAGAACAATAGCTCTCAGACGTTGAGCTATGTGGGGAAAAAAATTGAACCACCAGCCAAAACCCAAACATTCTGTGATTTGACCCAAATGTTTTTCATGGAAAACAACTATTGATATTTTCAGGTAAAATCACGAGAAAACTAGCAAATGAGGAAATAGCACTGAAAAGTTGGGAAGATGAAAAAGTTTCTTAAAGTATCAGAGGGGTAGCCGTGTTAGTCTGAATCCGCAAAAGCGGCGAGGAGTCCTGTGGCACCTTATAGACTAACTGAAGTATAGGAGCATAAGCTTTCATGAGCAAAGTCCCACTTCGTCAGATGCATGTCTGACGAAGTGGGTCTTTGCCCACGAAAGCTTATGCTCCTACACTTCAGTTAGTCTATAAGGTGCCACAGGACTCCTCGCCGCTTTTGCGGATTCAGACTAACACGGCTACCCCTCTGATACTTTAAGAAACTTTTTCATCTTCCCAACTTTTCAGTGCTATTTCCTCATTTGCTAGTTTTCTCGTGATTTTACCTGAAAATATCAATAGTTGTTTTCCATGAAAAACATTTGGGTCAAATCACAGAATGTTTGGGTTTTGGCTGGTGGTTCAATTTTTTTCCCCACATAGCTCAACGTCTGAGAGCTATTGTTCTTGTTGCTCATGAAATATTCAGAATTTTATGGTTTCCATCACCAAAGGATCTAATGACACACAAACATTTTCCCCCTCACAACACTTTCTTAAAGTCTCCAAATTAATAGTGACCATGGCAGAAAATGGGCCAGATCTTCCCCTGTTGTAAATCAACTTAAGTTCAGTGGAGGTATACCAATGTATGCCAGTAAGGATCTGGCATAATAAGTAACTTTACTCCAGAATACTCCTGATTATTACCTAAATGTCACCTTTGTTGGCAAGGTCACACCCATAGGCACACATCTTGCCATAAGGAAAAAAGTGTTGTACCTATTATTGGCCACCAGGGGGCAGACCACTCTTTATAATTATAAATAAAAGCTTACTGGTTTCAAAATGACAAAGGATCCATGGTTATTTTGATTGGTGAGGCACTTTGGGAGGATAGCTAACATTCTAAGATATTAGACATACTATCAGACCCTTGATCTCACCAACACAGACTAAAACTTTGCTGCCATCTTTGCTCAGAAACTCAGAAGTTTGCTAGTCACTTGGAACACAAGGCTTCCTAATGCTAAATAAGGGCTGTAGCCTTTTTTTATGTTTGTTTGTTTTGCATGATCACATTCCATGCATTCCTCCTGCCCTTAACAATCAGAATAACCTATTCAACACTCATCTCCTGCTTTTTCCCCTTTGGTGCGCAGTTCCTTCCAGTGTGACCGGAGTAACAGTGAACAATTTGGGACGGACTGACTACCTCAGTGTTTCCTGGCTGCCAGCTACTGGAGATGTCGATAGTTATTTGGTAACACTCTCACATGACAACCAAGTGGTTCAGACTTTGACCATTTCCAAAGCCCTCAGTGAATGTTCTTTCAGCAGCCTGGTTCCTGGCAGACTTTACGATGTGACAATAACCACAAAGAGTGGGAAGTATGAAAATCATTCCTTCAGCCAGCAGCGCACAGGTAAAGGATGCAGAGAGAATGGGGACTCTGTCTGACTTCAGTCACATATATTGCAGGAGGGATAGCTCAGTGGTTTGAGCAGTGGCCTGCTAAACCCAGGGTTGTGAGTTCAGCCCTTGAGGGGGCCATTTAGGGATCTGGGGCAAATCTGTCTGGGATGGTCCTGCTGTGTGGGCAGGGGACTGGACTTGATGACCTCTCAAGGTCCCTTCCAGTTCTATGAGATAGGTATAGCGCCCATGCTCAGTTGCTTAGGATGATCTATACTAGCAGTAATAGCCAACCTACGGATGTTAAAGACTAGTTGACTCTATTAGATAGAGGCAGCAAAGGGCGGGGGAAGAGGGAGTACTTCAAAGGGGCAATGCCGCACATCTGATTGTGGGCTCTGAGTGGCGTTGCCCCTTTGAAACACCCCTTTGCACTGCAAAGCGCTCAGAGCCTGGGGTCAACTGGGGACTCCCAGGCTTCACATCGCATTCTGAAGCGGCAGTGCAGCATGGAGTCCCCGCTCACCCCAGGCTCCATGTGGGTGCTTCTGCTTTGAAATGCATAAGAGCCCCCACTGGGAACTCTTGTACATTTCAAAGGAGGAATGCAGAAGTTCCTGTCGAGTAGTGGATGAAAATTCCACTGACTACTCAACTAGTAAATTACTCATTATTTAACATCCTTAAGCCAACCAAAACAAAAGCAGCTAAAATGACAATGCTTAAGATTTGGGCCTGATTCTCATTTATAGGGAGACCACTTCACATTGTCAGTGTAGTATAAAGTAGCCCTAACAGCCATCAATGAAAACCAGGCCCTCTGATCTTCCTCACATTGGACTCAAGGACAAAACCTCTCTGTATTTCAGTGTGGAGAGGATCTGGCCCAAACCCTCACTGTATCATAACAAAAGAAGGAGTAGGAGTGAGAGTATAGGTGCTAGAAATAGGGCTGTTGGGCTACTTGCACCTGCAGTCTTGGAGTGGTTTCCATCACATACACTTTATAGTTTGGTTCAATGGCTTTCAGCAGTCCCACTATCAGAATTGTTCCAACACCCCTACTTGGGAGTCAAACTCTGAGAGCACTGGAAGGTCATTCTTAGCTGGAATAATTTGTGCTCTTCAGCAGTGCAATTATTTTGACCCCAAAGTAAGTGAGGGGCAAGGAGTTTTGGCTTCTTTAAAAGGCAAAAATCTAGTAGAAATTTGACAGCTGAGATTAAAGGACAGTTTTGACTTAAGCCAGTGGTTCCCAACTTTTTGGGGCTGCCGGGCGCCTGGGGGCAGGGCCGCTCATGCGCCATGCGGCACGGGGTGGGGCCGCATGTGTGCCATGCGGCCGGGGGCGGGACCGCACATGCCCTATGTGCTTGGGGCACAAGAATGGCTTGGGCCAGCCCTGGTCACTCGGCGGGAGCACATAAATGCCCCAGCGGGCCCCATGGCGCCCGCGGGCACTGCGTTGGGGACCACTGACTTAAGCACTTTGTGCCCTTGATTATGTAAGCTGACCGATCATGTACTGCCTAATGCAACAGTGATCCAAAAACGCAAACAAAATGTTCAGATGCTTATAGAATGGAATGAAAAGTGATACTGGAAATAATAAAATGCCATCATATATATGAACCCTCACCTTTATTTCTGAAATTGTGATCTCTGAAAGGCTATATCAGGAATAGAGGGAAGCCAGAGATGGGTGCCAAAAATTATTTGAGGTATTAAACAACTTCCATCTGGAGATAAATTTAAAATATGAGGACTGTTTACCTGAGAGAGAAGAGAAGAATAAGCGGGGACAAGACAAAGATATACAAATTAACACCCTTTCTCTTAATGAAGCAATAGGGAGAGACTGAAATTGAACAGTAGCAAATTTAGAGCTTTCACACACTGCAGATTTATCCTATGAAACCCATTACTATATAATAGTGTTAAAGCAAAGAGTTTAGCAGGGTTCCAAAAAGAATTGGACTTGTATATAGATAACAAGAACAGCCAGAATTACAATAGCAAAAAATTAAAACAAACAAAACCTTCTGTTGAAAATGATCAGCCCTCATGTTTCTTGGCTTAAGCCAACTCCTGACTGATCGGAGTTAGGAAGAAATGTTCCCAATGGATAAGCTATTCAGCTGCAGGGGTTTTTGCACTTCCTTCTGAAGTAGCCACTTGACCGCTATGCTAATCTGGTGGGGCAGTGTCTGTGTTCAGTTACCTTTCTCGGGATATTCTGTGTTACTTATTCATTGTTTCAGAATCTCTCATTCTTTGCCCATTTTTTTCTTCCCAGTTCCTTCAAGTGTTCAGGGACTTACTGTCAGCAATTCAGCAAGAAGTGACTATTTAAAGGTGTCCTGGTTGCATGCCACTGGTGATTTTGATAATTATAAAGTGATCATCGAGAACAAGAATGACTTCATCCAAACAAAAGATGTTCCCAAGTATGAAAATGAATGTGTGTTCACTGAACTGATCCCAGGGAGGCAATACAGCATCACTGTTAGCACACAGAGTGGAAAATCTGTGACTAGCCAAAGGGTGAATGGCAGAACAAGTGAGTAAATACCCAGAAGAACATGGTGAGAGAGATTGTAGTGAGAGCATTTTTATTTACAGGACACAGGTAAAAAGGTAATTTTGTTTTACCATCTGATGCTGATGGCTTGACTTTTCCAACTGCTGTTGCTCTGAAGATCAAAGGAGGCAACTAGGTTACAGTGAATGTCTAAGTCAAAGATGTGCAGAAAACAAAACAAAAAAAGCCCACCCAGATTTATTTCTGTAGGGTTGTAAACTCTGAGATTAAAATATAGCATATTTAGAATCAAAGCTGTATGGTTTTGCCATATCAAGCCGTTATTTGTGTTTGCAAAGCAATGACATCACACACAGAATCTTTCACTTTCAAAGGGGTTTTTAATGTGACAGATTGGAGATAAAGAAAGAGAGTAGTTATCCATGCTGTTCTTCAGTTATTTGCTCATTTATTTTTTGTATTGTGGTAGCTCCGAGAAACCCTAGTCATGGGCCATTGTCCTAAGGTCTGTACAAAAACAGACAAAAAGATGATTTCAATAACATTTTGCATTATGTGTTTCAAGTCACGTTACTATGCAGTGGTCAGAATGATTACCTGAGGAGTTTATATGCTATTATTTTCCATTGCCTTTTCAGTGCCAGAGTCAGTGAAGGAATTGACTCTTAGTAACAGAAGCACAGAAGACCTCCAAGTTACCTGGTTAAAGGCTGAGGGGGATGTTGATCAGTATGAGATTCAGCTACTTTTCAATGATATAAAAGTCTTTCCATCCATTTTCCTTGAAAATACCATTGAGGAGTATCGGTTCACAGCTTTAACTCCTGGGCGCCTGTACAAAATTCTTGTCTTGACAATCAGTGGAGACACACAACGTGCCACTTTCATAGAAGGATTGACAGGTAAGAGTAAGCAACATTTAAAACGTGATTTGGGGCTTCTTCATTCCAGAGAGAAAAACACTGGGAGTTCAGAAAATCCAGACTGCATCACAATCTACCATGGATCCGTCTGTAAAACTGGCAGAGACATGCAAGATCTCACTGAAAGCCACATTAATACTTCAGCTAACTTCAGCTTCCCTTGATAAATAAATGTCACAATCAACCCCCAACATCTAAGTGTTGTATGGTAGTGTGACTTCCTGGTTTATTTGAGGGCCCTGAGGGTGTGTCTAGGCTACATGGCTCCGTCAACGGAGCCATGTAGATGAGTTTACTAGACATAGGAAAATGAAGTGGCGATTTTAAATAATCACCGCTTAATCTACATCAAAATGGCTGCCGCACTGTGCCAATCAGATGTTTGGTGGCACAGCAGGGCAGTCTGGACGCAGGGAAGCCTTTGTCGACCGCTCAGGTATGCCTTGTGAAATGAGGCTTACCGGAGTGGTCGACAAAGGCTTCCCTTGTCGACCGCAGCGCATCCAGACTGCCCCGCTGTGCTGCCAAACAGCTGATCGGCACAGCGCTGTGGCCATTTGGATGTAAATGAAGCGGTGATTATTTAAATCGCTGCTTCATTTTCTTATGTCTAGTAAACTCATCTACATGGCTCCGTTGATGGAGCCATGTAGTCTAGACATACCCTGGAGTGAAGAGTCCAGATTTATTTTATGCCCAGCTTTACCACTGGTTTGCTTTGTGACCTTGGTGAAATCACTCAACATCTCAATCAGCTCTTCAATTTACCCATCTGTAAAATAAGTATCTTATTACATAACTACAAATGGGTTTTGTGATATCTAAAGCATTAATGTCTATACAAAAATTGAAGATTCTCAGAAGAAAGATCCTTGTGTTATATTATCTGCAGAATATAAAGATGTCTAGACAAAGCAACTGCTTTAATTGTATTCTTTTTATTTTCCTTGTCATGGTCTCTGGACAGAAGAGGTATGGTGTTGTATATAGCTAGGGTACAATTCTGCAAACACACAAATCTGCAGCTTCACTCACAGGAGTAGTGGTACTAGTCCCAGGAGTTAAATTACACATGCATGTAAGTATTTGCAAAATCAGGCCCTTCTTGGTTACAAGAAATTAGTCTGTTTCTTCTTTTCCACTCATTCCTGATGTAGATTTCAGAATTTCATTGGCTGCAGCTGCAGACATACCAATATTTGAATGGAATGGAAATTTCTATAACAGGGTTTCCATTTTTTTCCCAGTTCCAAGTGCCGTCAAAAACATTCATGTTTCACCCAATGGGATGACAAACAGCCTGAAAGTGAATTGGAGTTCTGGAGGAGGAGATGTTGATTCTTACACAGTGACCCTGTTCCATCAAAACCATCAGCGTGATTCCCAGAATGTCTCCAAGCAGGTCTGCGAGCATACCTTCAACAAGTTAGAAGCCGGGGAGCAGTACCAGATTGTGGTACAGTCTAACAGCGGCAACCTGCACAACAGTTTAACAGCTCGCGGACGTACAAGTACGTTTCTTTATGGGAAAAGGGTGAAAAATATCATATTTTCCCATCAGACTAGTACTGTTTCATAATAGTATTTTATTATTTGTCTATATAGTGTCCCAAAGTGTCTGAGGACACTCAGGCCAGGTCTACATTAGACCTGGGAGGTCGGCTTAAGGTATGCAACTCCAGCTACATAAAATGCATACCTGGAGTTGGCTTACCTTAAGCTGAGCCTTGGCAGCATCCACACAGTGGGAGGCTGATGAGAGAAATCGCTCCCATCGGCTTCTCTTACTCCTTGCAAAAGGAGTACTGGATGCTGGCTGGCGTTTCCCTCAGCATTCGATTTATGGGGCTACAGTAGACCCACTAAAAATTGAATGTCAGAAGATCAACTTCTAGAGTGTCAATCTCAGAGGTGTAAGGAGATGGGTCCCTGTCAGAAAGAGTTAGAAGACTTGATCCTGAAAATCCACATGGTAGTAATTACACTGATGTGAACACATACGCAGGTGTCAATGGGAATTTTCATTTGAGCAACTTTACTTGTGTAAATGTTTGTGAGACTGAGCTCCCAGTCCAAACCATGCCATGGGACCTTTTATGGCACAGACCTTTCATAATACTACCTTTTATGCCTGTCTGAAATCCCAGAGGAGCCAGTGGGGCTCCACACAGAAATAAGATGTGTGCTGGCAGAGCCCGCTGTATGACTAGGGCCTCTCAGACATATACAGAACTATATAAGGTAGGAAAGAGACACAAGTCAATATCATGATTTAAATCCTCTTCCTCTCTTTGAATGTTCATGTGCTTTGTTTTAGGATTGGGCTTTTGGGGGAATAGTCTTTGGCTGATATGTTTTCTGTCATCCCATACTTGTCTGATATTTTGACAGTTTTTTGTTGCTTCTTTGCATTTTAATCATTGTTTGTTCCTTTGAAACCTGTCATGGTTTTTCACTTATCCACTCCACCCTGCCATGTACCCTCTATGCAGCATAAAGCTAAATGATTTCTTTCTCTTTTTTTAAATAACTCTCCCCTCACCATCCCTTTCTTGCTGTCCACATACCATGACTCTCTGGAAACCTACACTGCCTCTTCTCCATCCTGTACCAACCCCACCTTGGGCTGGGTACGCATTAGCATCTTTACATACTGGAGGAGAAAGGAATGTAACCTGAGGCCAAGAGATGGGTTCAAGGTGTCTCAGCCCCAGACAACGACTGCTATGACAAAAGGGTGAGGATACACTATTGGAGAGTAGGCAGCCAAATCAGTACCATGGCCCCAGATTTCATATTCTATTATTTCTTCTATATGACTACATAAACAAATATTGCAACTTCTGTTAGAGTAACATTGAATAACCATGGGCTGAAGTCTACTTCATGAATTTATGCGCCATGAAGCAGAGAATGGAGGAGAGAAGGAGTCTTCAGGGTGTTGATTAAAGTTCTCTAATTCATTCCCAAAGGGCTGTCTGCCGGCTGAGGATAGTCCGAGCACAGCACACCCTCCTCACCTCTCTTCTCCAGCCACTAGGAGTCATGGGTAGTTTGTCCTTGAGCTGGCTTTCTGTCTGCTGGGGGTCTCATGCTGGGGTCTCACCCATGATGGGAAAATTCAAAATTGGGGAAATGCAGTTGGGTTCCATTCTCTTTGCACTGCTGGAGGGAAAAGAGTAGGGGGGCACAATCTTCCCTGTCATCTTCAAATAATAAATTAGTTACTTCTGTTTTCAAGGGCAGCTCATGGAAAGTAGGCTTTGTTGATCTTACAAAGGTATAAAACTGTATCAGGTAATGCGTTAGCCAGACTTCCACAATTGCGTTCAGTGCTGTATGCACTTCCCAAATGTATTTATTTTAATTTTCTATTAAAGCATGTAACTTTATATAGAGGAGCTGTAATGAGCAGAGATGTGCCTAGCAGGCAACTTTTCTAATATTGTTGGACTGTTATACACAAACTATGAAAGGGGTGATGTACAGCTAAAATGTCCAGAAATGAGGACCACAACGGCTCGCATTCTATTAAGTGTCCCATGTGCTCTCCTTCTAGTTAGTCTTGCCAGAAGACCTGTACCTCCTTCAATACAGGTGTTCCCATTCAGTTTACCAGTTCCCATGTCAACTCAGTTTAGCCACTTTTGTGAAGTAGAGGTTAATAGAAGTAACTTCAGTTCATCACTGAAGGTAGAACAAAAAAATCTGTCTCTCTAAAAATCAGTTTAATCTAATTTACAAGTTCTACAATGCCTGAACCCTAAATGTATAGTTTTTGGATGGTTCATGATGTAGCTAAGTTGATTGGATGCCCTATTGATGCATTTGCATAGATAAACATTCCTCCTTTTTTTTTTTTTTAAGTTTAACCTTCACTCTTAATATCCAGGGTATACTATGCTTGGTTTGGGATAATTACAAGATCCCTGGATTACATTTTATCCTAAATTACTGAGGGTTTTTCTTAATCTTAACTCTGTCTGACAGTAGCTTTCATGAAGGATGCATACACCCACCCATGCATCTGTGTGTGCTGACATACTTATTTTTCATAAAAAAATCTCAGTGGGTTAGCCATGTTCGTTTACAACTTTAAAAACAATGAGTAGTCCTGTGGCACCTTAGAGAGTAACAAATAATTAGCTTCATTAACACAGATCCTGCCATTGACAGGTAACTGCTTTTGCTGTTATATATACCCTGGATTTTGTTATTTCCACTCCAACTCATCTGATAAAGTTGGTTTTTACCCATGGAAGCTCATGATCCTATATATTTGTTAGTCTATAAGCTGCCACAGGACTGCTTCTATTTTTCATAGTTAATTATGCTAATCCATAAGCATGTATTAAATGACACAGAGTTAACCTAATAATCTCTTTAATTGTTGTTCTCAGTTCCTGCCTCCGTCCAAGGATTATTTGCAGATCATGCCTACAGCAGTCATTCCTTGTTAGTGACCTGGCACAGTGCTGCAGGGGTGGCTGAAAGATATGACATCCTGCTCTTGACAGAGCAAGATATCCTTCTAAGCAACAAATCAGAGCCAGCGACTGCTAAACAGCACAGATTTGAAGATTTAATACCTGGCAAGAAGTATAAAGTAAAAATGTTGACAGTCAGCGGCGGGCTCTTCAGCACACCAGCAGTAACCGAAGGCCGAACAGGTAGTTAGAACATTTCAGCCTTATATACAGTATCTGCAGTAAGATATGGTATGAATATAATGATTCATCAAAATATCTATTTATTGAACAACCTCCGGTAGGAATCAGCCTCCTGGTATCAAATGCATCATTGTTCTGACACGCTGAATGTAAAAAAAAAAAAAAAAAGAAAATTGCTTGGAAACCAGTGTAGCTTTTCCAGGTTTAGTGCATTGTACATTGAAGCAGAGAACTAAGGAATGTTGGCATAGTTAAGGAGCTCTCGGCATGTCTGTTACATAGCCACATTAACTCTTTCAGTTGTCTAGCCTTAAATTCACTTGGTTTATAGGATCCTAACCCCAGATTGAATAGAAATACACTGCAAGTGTCTCCCACTTTTTCTCAGGCAAACTTCACATTGATGTTAAAGTGAACTTTTGTGTGAGCATAGATTGTAGGATTGGGCCCCATAGGTGTTATACATATTACATAGGTATGGTTAAAAGGCACTGATAACCAGGGCTGGCTTATGAAAGAGGCTTTAGGGGTTGCAGCCACTAATGCCCTAGCATGCTGTGGATCTGCCTGGCAGAGCATAGGGAAAGCAGCTCTGTGTACTACTGCTCCTCTCTTCCCCCTTCTTGGCTGGAGCCACAAGCGTCACCACTGGCAGCACCCAATGGGAGTGGCAGTGGGTGGTTCCTGAAAAGCACAGAGACATGTGCTCCTTCCTGGAAGCTGCACCAGGTACATGCCCCTGTCCCTTGCCGCATCCTGCACCCTTGCTCCTGCCCAGACCCTGCATCCTCACCTGCAGCCTGCTCCTGCATCCTTCTTCTCATCCAGACCATGCAGTCCCTCACTCAGACCACTCTAGCACTGTACTTCCTGCCCATACCCCACAGTCCCACTCCACTCCTCAGCAGTCCCATCCCACGCGCTGAACCCTTCAGCTTTGGCCTAGCAGGCCCCACAAAATCTACTAGCTTCAGGCCCCAGAACAGTTATTTTGGTCCTGTTATTTTATAAATTACAAAAGTTTTCATTTAATATCTGTACGTCCTTGTTTTTGTGCATTTACATTGTATGAATGTAGTTCTCAGTGGCTAAGTAGTATGACAAAGTCAGGTCAGAGGGCTGCAATAGGAAGAAAGGCAGCCCTGGGAGGGGGAAAAAAAAGTCAATTCCCTGATTAACAAGGAGTGGACAAATTAGGAGCAGCTGGCAAGGAGGTGGCTCAGGCAGATTAGGCATCAGCTGAGCCAGGGCTACCTTGGCTCAGGACCAGCTGACTCCACTTCAGGCCTTCTGGAAACTTTTAAAAGCCTCCCCTGTAGGTGGAAGGAGAGGGAAATAGAGGAGAAAGTATGTGAGAAAAACATACAGACGCACTCATAGCTACAGAGTGAGAAACAGAAGGTGAGGAAGGAGCTCTAGGAGGAGAGGCTGGTTTCCCTCCCCTCTCCCC